CTGCCTGTCCCCCCAGCCCTCGCCCTGGCCCAGCCATGCAGCAGCATTGGCAGCACTAGCAGCTCCAGCCCGGGGACACCAGAAGTATAGAAAAACATACAGGAAATATGTTTATTTAAGTATGTATATTTTTAAGAAATTAATATTTATAACTTGCATCTCTCTCTCAAAATGGTCAGAGGCTTGCTCAATAAGTATCAGAGTAACAGAGAAGCATGTTGGTTTTCAGAAGAAAATTTGAGAAGAATAGATATTTGTGAAAGAAACTAAGTGTGAAGAGGAAGGCCATAATAGTCAAGATCTTGAATAGAAACCGATTATATTTTTAGTTTAAAAAACACTTACAAAGTTGAAAATGAAATATCTCTTCTCCACAGAGGATTTTTTAAAGTAAGTTGCTGTTCTATAGAGTGATTGATTCTTCTTTTCAAGTAAGAGGGCTGACTCAGCTCTCTTTATCTAAACATGCACTTAAAATCCAGTAGAATGCTGTATGCTTTGGTACGGTATTGTACATTGTTCTCGTCTTTAAAAAATCTTCTCACCAAGATGTGGATTGTAAAGTTGTGCATTACACCCATGTGGCAGTGCAGTAGAAATTAAAGGGCATAAAACGTTCAGATTTCTCAGATTTTTTTTTTAATCATCAGATGCCACTTGTTTATCTCCATGTATATTTTTCCTGCAAGAATAAATATAAATCTCAAGTTTATTGATTGTGTAGAGCAGCCTTACAGAACTCCTCTTAATGTTTACCTGGAACAAATAGTTTTTTAAACACAGGTGATCAAACTTTGACATGGCTAATATAAAATGCTTTTAGTTAAGTTCTCCCTTACCTTATTCGCATTATCCAGCCTTTGTACCTTATTTCATATTTATGTCTTCTAGACATTTAGAACATCACTTTGCCCATAACATTATTAGTGACCTTGCCCAGAATATGGGTCCTTGCCTCTGTGAGGCTCTTGCTTCCTACTCTTTACAAATCGCTGTGTCAGTGTTTCCAAATATCCTTTTTTCCCATTGATAAGGAGTCAGAATTGCCTTAGTGCCAGCTCAGACTGATGGGTCTGAAAACCCCAAAGTTAAACTGATTGACAGAGCTAGTGTTAGGGAAAGGGAGTAAGAGGCTTTTGGTACCCAGACTGGAAATGTTTCCAGCCAGTGAAATGTTTTCCTACTCTTCTTTCCCTCTCCTCCCCACATACCTCATGAAGTGTACAGTTCTATATTGACAGGACAAAAGGTAAAAGTCAAGGTATGGAATAACAAATGTAACAGCTCATTATGCTCTCGTGTTATGTTGTTGGCAATGCATGGCATGTTTGGAGTAGGAAAATAATTTCCCTTCCTTCACTAATCTTGATATTTTTTTCTCTGTTTCAGCTGTACACTGCACTTGAGCAGGGGTATTAATATTGTGCAGTGGGAAGCAATGGTTTTAAGGGAAACTATGAGAAGCTAGGGCCTCAAAATTTGTGTTGGTATCAGTGGTAGTGTTACAGTGATGTTGTAGCCTTGATGGTCCAAAAATATGAGAAATGAGCTTCTGAGTACACGGCACCCTTTATTGAGTATTTGTCCCAGTGTGAACAAGAAGGGTGCCTTGTACCCAAAACCATGTGTAAAGCTCTCCCAACCATGTGATTGGTCCGATAAAAGATATCACCCACAAAAATGCTTACCTCTTGCATATCACTGTATTGGCCCAAATCTAAGACAACCCTGAATTTAATATGACCTCCCAGTAATTAGGTTATATACATGGAAAATTTCTAGATTTGATGGGGAGGGCAAGCAGTTTGAATCTGCAGCATGATCCCCCCCACTTTCTTCCCCTTGTGTCTGCCCTCCTGCAGCCTCAAGCCCCTGCCCCCTTCCCATCTTCTTCCTGTGCCACTTCTTCCCTGTCCCCCCGTTCTTGCCTGCCACCCTACAGCCACCACCCCCTACCTCCCTCCCCTCCCCCCCACTTCACATCCTCTCCTTGCCCTTGCTCTGCTCTAGAAAACTTCATCCCTGCTATAGCCTGGGGCATGGAGCATGGGCACAGCTATTTCAGGGCTGGACTGGAGCCATGCTCCGTGTCCCAGACTGCAGCAAGGATGGAGCCTGCCAGCACAGAGCAAGGGGAAGGGGAAGAGATGGGTGGAGGTGTAAAGGTTGAGGGAGCGAGGTAGGGTGTGCAGACATGACAAGGGACAGGCAGCAGTACAGCTTCAGCCCCTACCCAGGGTAGGGGCCAAAGCCTGAGCTGGAGCAACAGCAGCTGCCTGCCAGGCAAGAGGCTCTTTTTACCTGTGTTCAATGTGGGGTGGAGGGAACTCATCTTGTAAATGAGTAAATAGAATATTATTAGTGTTGTTGGTCTCGGTCTAGTGACCCAAAGTGGGTAATGGTAGAGGACTGTGACTGATGTCATTAATCTCTGCTTTTCTGTGGATCACAGCTCCTCCCTTAGGGGAAGACCTGATGGGAGACTCTTGCTTTTGGAGTGCCAGATACCTGGAAAATTTAAATGATGGCTGTTGCTGCGTATAGATATTCATTCAATTGAAAGAAAAACATTCCTCTGACCCCATGGCTGGGGAGCTTCGCAGGTGGGCTCCCCCGTCAGAGGGCACTAGAGGGTTGCTTCTTGGGTCACCCTCACCCTTTAAGGGAGACTGTTGACAGATGGCCTTCTCCCCTGCCTAGAAAATGGAAGTTGGCAGCTGCTAAAAAACGATTTGACCCTTGTTTTTGCCAGGTTATTTTTCTCCCAGAGCAGCTATTTTTGCTATGGGAGAAAGAGCCTGAACACCTGTACACTTTTGGTTTCTATTGGTAAAAACTGAACATCTGTACTTGGCCCAGGTCTGTAGACAGTCGGAGCCTTGTGTGACACGTATTCAGGGCTCCTAGGACTTTGGATGCCAGGAAATGTTTTATTTTTCAAATAGACTAGTTAATAGGAATGCAGCCATGTGCATTTATATTTATAGTGACTTTATGTATAGCTTTCTTGCAGCTGACACAAAACAATGGGTAATTGTGCAGATGGTGAATGGCAAAAAAGGTTCAGGTTTATCTTCTCTGTCCTGGATTAAAGACTGTGCAATGGGGTTAGCCCTGAAGATCTGGCTCTAAGTTTATTTCCTTACCTTTCAAACCCAAATACACAACTGTACTCCAGACTTTCCATTCCTATTATCCCATTGTCCTTCATCAAACCTAGCAATTTCCTTTTTTTCAGCATATTTTTTGCTGTTTTCCTCCCAGACTGCCATCTAACCCCACTAAAATGAGTGCATGATTCTTATATTTGTGCAGCTGTTTAGCACTCAGAGATCCTTTAAGAAGAAAGGTGATATATCGATATAAAATACTGTTGGTGTTGTCGTTTAAGCCATAAGTATGTTCAACACCATATTTTTACAAAATTATTTTAGCAGTTTCCTATAGAATTTGCTAGTGTGTGATTTAACTATTGGGAATATAATAGTGAACACTTTTACTTTTCAGAGATTTGACCTGTGTTTTATCAGAAAAGTCTGAAAGTCCAAAGGAATTGTATTTGGAATAAGAATCTGACATTGTATTTCATGTTAAAGGACTAATAATTTTTTCAGCTTTGAAAGTGACTATTTTAAATTATGCAGTGCATGAACATCAGATCAAAGTATCATCATGTGATATTAAGTAGTATCACATACTTCTCACTGTGCGGGTTGGGCGCGAGCCGGGCCCTTCTTCGTGCTCTGCGCGGGCTGTGGCCAGCAGCCCGGGCACGCGGGGTCGGAGAGGGCGCGCGTCAAGCTAGAATTAGGCACAAACTCGTAGCGGTAGATTTAAAGATTGTTTACTTACACCGGAGATGGTTGCGGTGCAGGCTGGAAAACTTGCTTGAGTTGCGGTTACAGACAAAGATAACACGAACGGTCACGTGGAGTTTGCTAGGCTCCACGGAAACAGAGCTCCGGATGTCCTGGACAAGCGCACCACCGAAATGGAAACTTCGTAGATACGTCTTATAAAGAATTATCGCTCGAAGACGGAAAGAGGTGGGCGATGGATCAGGTCGCCAAACGCCTCTGAATCTCACACAGGGGTCTTTATTTCCCTGCCGTGTACCCAGAGTCCCCACGAGATGGATGTGGAGTCCTCTTCGGCTTGGGCGGAAACCGCTCAAGCCTCTTATATGGCTAACAGGCCAATCGTTAGCCGCCACATGGGAATAATTTAGAACTAGCCAATAACGGGGAACCAATTTGCATGCGGGTGGCGGGAACTCCTTTGCACCGTGCATTTCTCTTGCAACTTGAGCAATGCACCTTGCAAAGGAATCTGCAAATAGGCGGGAAACTCTTCCTTGCACCGGGGTTCTCCTCTGCAGCAGAAAACTCTACCGTGCAACGAAGCTGCAATTTGGCGGGGATAATTCTAGTGCCGAAGCACACACAAAATCATACCTTTGGGTTATGACACTCGCTTCCTCTTTAGCAGGAGGAATGTTATTGCCCTTAATACCATGTGTGATTCATTGTCTCTAATGTGAGGAAGCTGTCATTAGGTGGCAGATATTTTTTCTTCGCATTTTATCATCCTTGCTTTCCATTCTGCAGTTAAAAAGACAGAATTTGAAATTGTTCAGTGCAGACAGTCTCCTACTTAACCATTCTATGTTCTGAAGTTGTCAGTCTTCGTTATTTTATTGTAACGATAAAATCAATAAGTATATTCAAATATTTTGAAATGATACAGCAGGCTAACACCTTGACAAAAATCTCTCACGTTTTGAGATAAGATCTGAACTATACATCTGCTACGTTGATGTATTTATTCAGAGTCTGGTTGTTCTTACTTAGGAAATGCAGTGTATGCTGAAGACTAGGAATGAATGATTTCTTAAATTAATCTGTATACAAGCACTAATATTAATTACCAAAATGTATGGTAAATTAATTTTAGCAAGCAGATCAGATCTCACCTGTTACTTATTGCAATGTTCCATTCAGGTTCTACATGGTCAGCTATTATGAGCGGAGTCACAGAATAGCAGTGGGAGCTCGCCATGGTTCAGTAGCCCTCTACGACATCCGGACTGGAAAATGTCAGGTAAATAAATCATTGTGACTTCCTCCCCATAAAATGTGGAAGTTATTGAAAAGAAAGAGAGACTAGCACAGCACCAGTTGACACGCTGAGCTGCTGGAACATTATGGATAATGCTAAGGGGATCAATAGTTTAATGAAGGACTCAAAGTATATAGAGCCCTACTGTCTTCATTCACTGGAACTGAATTGCTGCCATAGATGGGTTAATAACAGAAACTCAAAGTTTTGTGATACTTCTCACAGAACTGTTGTCAAAGAAATCTCTTGTTTAATCCTGATTTTTATGTTTTTCTAGTTACCAGCATAATGTATGGGTTATTTTTCCACCGTGTCCCTCCATAAAACCGTATTATACCTATTTTTCAGGTATATTACATTTTCTAATATTAAATAAAATGTGACATTAACCCACAATAATATTACATAGTCAAACAGGTTATGATTTGGGATGATATTTATATTTCCATGTCTTTTTTTAATTTCAGCCACTTTCAAAATCTCTGTCAATATAGTTTATATTTTGATATATTTTTCAGAAAAATGGAATTACTAATATTCACTCTTATTTGTAATATAAAAGTCCCAGTAGAATTCCAAAACTTTAAGCTTAACTATAAATGGAGAACTACATACTGTACGTATTGCATCTGTTTTGTGGTTATTTGCTTTCTCTAATTTTTACATGAATATAATGACGCTTATGATTGCCTGGCTTTTATGGCCTCTATTTATTCGTAGAACAGGTACAGCAATACCTGTGATATTTTACATTTCCCCTGGCAATACAGTGGTACTTTACATTTCTCCAAGCTAGCTCAGGAGCAACTCTGTCCTGAAGGAACAGTTCCTTCTTTCTTCTCAGCTTTGACTTTTCCAGCTGATATTGCTCTTGTGGTTTTCAGCTGTGGTAGTTTTATAAGATCACCAAATTTCTTTTACAAATAGCCACATGGTGCAGGGAGGGATCTGACCTAAGGTATACCTCTGCAAGTGGGAGAAACCCAGGCAGGCATTTCCAGGGCTTTAGGAGCCCCATCCTGCATGCCCAGGCTGTGGGAATGCCTGGGGCATTCAGGACCATGCCCCTGAAGCCCTGGGTGATGAGCATGGGTAGCTCCAGGCTACCTCCGCTCTCCCTCCTTAAAGGAAATGGACATCTGCCAGAAAATAGCAAAACAAATCCATACCACCTATGTTTTATCCACAAACGTGGGACATTTATGGTGTGACAAAGGACGTGGATGTCTGTTCACTTGGTCTTTTGTGCCACCATAAAAATATTCATGGCAGTACAAAGGTGACATCTGTTTACATTCTTCTTGACCTTTTTTGCCAAGGTTCGGTGTATGTTGGTATCCCTTTCCTTCCAGCCATTCAGCCACCAAGGTCACTGCACACCTGTGTATTGAGAATCATTCTCTGTGTCCATTCAGAAACACTACCATGACACCTTTGCTGTGTACTTAATCTCAACAAGTGAGTGAGTGTACAAATACCAGATAGCCCCCAAACCTTGGAATCTCATTCCTGTGACTAGTCTTTATGTATTTTGTGCCTTTTACACTTCAATATATCTGTATGTTCTTATGGAATAAGGAGAATGACAGTTCAATTTATTCTTTGATTTAGCTGCTAGACTTTGAATTCTTATGTTTTTAATTTTAAATTTATTTCCTAAAATGTCTCCTGGGTAAACGCACACATTGTCATTCCTGACCTAACGCTCTCATTCCAGGCAGTATATCTGAACAGTAAGTTCCAAAATGTGTCATATAACATTTTATACAGTCTGCCAGTCCTAAATGGTTAAAGGCCAGAGGTGCTGATAGACAGGATGGCTAAGTGCTTACAGCTACATGTATGTGTGGTTGAATCTGCAATGAAAATCTTCCCTCTGGCTTGGTTTGCCCTTGGTTTAGCAGACATGCTAAATAATCTTATCTTGCTGCTTTTTTCACCTAGTCCTTTTTAAAATGCATTCTGAATAATAACCACTGGCTATATTGAAAGAGATTGTCTCTGGCTAATGTTTGCAAGTCATTTATCCATAAATGCCCTCTTGTTATTGCTAGTTGACATTTTATTATATTAAATTACTGGAACTAAATCCAAATTTGTTTCAATGACTTGTTTGAATAATGGTATAGGTTAATTTAATCCTCTATTGGAATGTTTAGGGCACTGTTTTCTTTACTGTCCTTAAGACTGTAGACAATCATGTGAAGTGGCAGATAAATTCCAGTTGTCTGAGAGAGACCTCCAAAGTGATTAAGGTTATATACCATTTTAAAATCATTTTGATAATACTATAAGAGAATTTCATGAATCACAAATATAATCTAGATGGGGGGGACAGGGAATAGCCATCTGTCAGTTCCAAGCTTCTTATTTAGATTCTGATCCTTCTGAATTACTTCTCACCCACATTTGCTGCTAGAAAGCTGCTCAGTAATTATAGAAACCAAATTAGTCCTAGCTGGAAAACAAGAATTTAGTTGGATGAAAAAGTTTTTGAGGTTTTGATTTTTCTTTGATTCTTCACTGGAACAAAACCTTTTGAAACATTTCTTAAACAGGACAGACAGATAGACATCTTCCTACCTACAAGAATTAAAAAGAAAGAGATCTTTTTTACCAGGACATCCAATTTGTTACATCAGGCTGCTTTGATATTTTTTTATTATTTTTTCCCCTCTTCCCCTCTCTTGCTATAAATTCTATCCTGGATATAAGAAATCTTTCTCATGAAGGTCTTTTTGAAACAGATCAATTTCTGTAGAAAGTTTTGGCTTTGTTGAATCTGCCTTTTCCATTGGAAAAAATGTTAAAAATGAATTGCCAAAAAATGTCTGGATCAATTCTAATCCAGTCTTTCAGTTTTCCTACTAATGATAATTTTACTACAAATAACATAATAGCCTAGTTTATGGGGTAGAAAAACGGGGAAAAGTGGATGCAGGACAACAGTTGGAGAGAGGCAGCCTCTAAGAAATGCAGGAGATGAGACATTTAGGGCGTGTCTAGATGTGTGTTAACATTTGGTTCCCCCGGGACAAGTAGCGGTGGTACACTGGTGCCACGTGCGCTTTGGCATGTGGCAAGTTGCCCCAGGTGGGGTAGAGGAGGCTGGGGCCAGCACTGGGGCGGCCCGGCACAGCTTTTCAGCAGCGCACGCTAGCCAAGTGTGCGTTGCTCCAGGTTTTTTTCCACAGTTTTTTTTCCTGTTTGTTTTGTTTTTTGTTGTGGGTTTTGGGGGGGATTTTTTCCTGGTGCGGACACTGCGGATGGTAAATCAGAGGCAAAGGAGATTATTTTATAAATAAACCTTCCAAGTTTCTCTTTAATTCTACTAATTTAGTAATGTCAAAGGTATTTTGGTTCTGAAATAGGTTGTTCTGAAATATACCCATATTCAGATCCTATGATGCCAGATTCAGAAAATGGGGAAGGACAGAAAAGTCTTCCTAGGAAGGCAAATAGAAGAGCTGCCTTATAATAAATGTATATTATTCTAGATTAAGGGTTCTGTTAGTTACATACTGACAAAAAGGCTCTCATTGCTTTCTTTTTATTGAATTAAGAAGTATAGACAAGTCTTTGAGCAATACTGAATACTTAGGCAAGGAACAGGCTTTACATTTAGGATTTCTCCTATCACAAGAGAGCGGACAGCTGTTCAGAGGGTTTCTTGCAGAAGAGAATGGGCTCTTCCACAAGAAATTTGGATCAATTCCTATGAGCAAGATCTCCCTCCTCCCCATCTAATTAAAATGGTTCCCAGCCCCTCAGGCTTTTAAATGCTACATTTGCTACCTAGCTGGAGGTGCAAGTTCATAGCACATGCAGTGATTTAAAAGCCAGGGAGCTGGAAATCAGGGTCAGGGAAGTTCTCCCCAGCTCTGCTTCTCCACATCTCTGGCTTTAAATCACCCCACGTGCAGCCCAAATAGCTGGGATTTAAAAGCCAGGGGGGTTGGTTATTGACAGCGTACCCTGTCCCACTCAGGGGAGGGGACAGGCTGTCAATTAATGGAGTTTTCTAGGGCAGAGGTGACCCAAGGCTGAAGGGCTTGCCTGTGTAGCTCTCCAGCCAGGAAGCTAGAACACGTATATACTCTAGCTCCTGGGCTATTTTTCTAGCAGTAAGAATTTCAGCAGTCATTTCTCTGAAATTCTTACCAGTAGAAATAAACACTTATCCTTGTCCCTAATTGAGAGATACTCAAACTTCAAGAATTAAACTCACAGAAATTTTAACATTGAGAAGCAATTTTAACAGCAGAAGACCAAAAGTACATCTAAATTCTGACAACTTATCTGGGAGTTGTAATGGTTGTAGCAACATTTGACTATTTTATCAGACAGTGACATTTTTAGGTACTTCTCAGTATTTTATAAAGTGCTAGACCTTAGTGCAGATGCCATTTGCCATTCCTTGAACAATCACTACTAATATGGTATCAAAAATTATTTGGTTGGGAAAATTGCCAGGGATAAATTTCTACCATGTAAAGGTAAAAAGTTTCTTTGTGCCATAGATTCATAGATTCATCCATTTTCACTAAAGCCAGAGCCTGCACTGAATTTGCAGTTGCTGCTTGTTTTGACATCATTGAAAGTATTGGTTTTCTCTGCACAGAAAAGTTTTGCCAGTTTATACCAATGTAATTCCCTGTGGGACCTTTATTGTTAAATAAGAAGTGGGGAGGTGTTTAGTTGTTTTTTTGCAAGCTTTTGGGATTTACACCCATCGCTAAGATTGGATAGATTGGAAAGAGTCTAGTGGAAAATGACAAAAATTATTAGAAGCCTAAGAAACGTGACTTTCAGTCTAGGAAAAGGCCAAAAGAAATAGGGTTATTTAGTCTGGAGAAGAGAAAACCAGAGGGGGTAGGGGGAGCATTGATTAAAGTCTATAGAGAGGATGGAGGTAGGCCTTTCTCTGTGACTGTAAGGGACAGGACTAGAAGCAGTGACCCAAAGGTACAGCAGAGGAAATT